TTGTCATGTGGTGAATTTGGCCAATCGTGAAACAGCTGTGTCGTCATCAGCGCTCCTGCAGTCGCTCTGAAAAAGCTGCGCCAGCTGAGTCAGCCAGCTGCTCTCGAAACGCTATCGCGGTACTTTGATGCCACACGTGACAGTGACGTGGCGTCGGTGCCGGTTCAAGTCGGACTAAATTTCTAACCGACATGCACTGCTTCAAGTCAGCCGCCGATCGGTTTGCGCGGCGCCGCATGAAGTCGAACGCACCTATTATCAACTGTTGTGGTGTGAGATCACGCCTTCCGAGAGGGGGACCTAATATAACGATTATGTTCAGTTTAATTCAGTTCCTGTCATGTCTGTTATGAGCTCTCATTAGTTACCATGGTTTCTGATTAGTTAATCCATGTCCAGCTGTTCCTGTTTAGTTCCCTCATTTAACATGTGTGTACTTATAGTCCTGATTCTGTTCTATCCTTTGTCGGTTATTATCTTGTGTTATGTGTTGTTCTATACCCGAGTTCTCAGTAAAGTCTTCTTTGACGTTTGAATCTCATGCCTGTATTCCTCGTTCCTCGACAACTCGTGACAGTAACACTGTCCAAAAGCGACACCCGCAGGTAAAGTTACAGTGGAGGCTTGCCTCCCTTCGGTCCATTGACTTTCTACAGAGACCCCAAAGCGTGCCGTGACTTTTCTGGATGCTCATTGAGATGAATGGCGGAAAGTCACATGAGAGGAGGCAATGTCTCCATCGCGCTATAATTGGATATGATCGGTTAAGGTTGGATGTGATTGGTTCGTGTGATAAATCCCGCCTCCTTTTTTCGTGCGTGCTCTCAGTCTGAATGAAGAAAATTAGGGCGTTATTGACTAATTATAAAGTAAACAACTCTCCCGCTTAGATACCACTACTTTGTGTCACGTCAAAATAAAACTTGAAATGGTCTGAAAAAATGGTCTGAAAAAATTAGTGAGCCTTCAGCGTGATGAAATGAAAGATATATCTTTGTGTCTGTGGCAGTGTTTACAGAGCTTTTGTAATGATGACCCGAAATAAGTTAAACTATTAAAAAGAACAGCTGAACAAGAAAGGTTCACAAATAAACAATATTGGTCAAATCTTACAATAAGGTGTCATTTAATGAGTTAACTAACATGAACAAACAATGAACATTTATTACATTATTTATTCATCTTTGTTTACATTAGTTAGCCTTATACAAATACAGTTGTTCATTGTTAGTTCATGTTAGTTCACAGTGCATAAACTAATGTTAACAAACACAACTTTTGATTTTAATAATGCATTAGTAAATGTTGAAATTAATATTAACTAAGATTAATAAATGCTGTAGAAGTAGGCTATTGTTTATTCTTAGTTCATGTTAAATAAAGTAGTTAACTAATGTTAACTCCTGAAACCTTATTGTAAACTGTTTCCAGAATATTGTTCAAATTGTTACCGCCTTTAGTTATTATTTTGGAAGAAATATAAAAATGCATAAAAACACTATGAAATGTATAATTAGTATTACAAATATTAAATAAAATAAAAAATAATATGAATAAAATACAAAATATAATTATATTTGTTCTTTTTTATGTAATATTTATATATAAATAAGCACACCACTGGCAGATATACATTTAACATATAATACACATTTCAATCCCCTGGAAAATGGAACAAAAATGCCGATGACTAATCTTGTTTGCGAGGGCCTAGAAAACACCAATATGCACCAATGTTCAATGTGCATGGTGGAATTTATTCAGTAAATGTGTTTCCATTGTAGTTTATGCACATTTTTTCTTATCGGATAAAAAGTTATCTTTCAAACAATCTCTCGGTATCTCACTATGGGAAACGCCCCAGGCATGATAGACTATGGAAGCACCAATTACACCATGTCTGTCCGAAGGACGGACCAATCACAGCTCATGACAAGGAGCTCACCCCCTCCCTATATACATATGGCTGTGATCCCCGAAAATGGCATTCTTGTTCTCTTCCCCATGAAGAATTTCCTTCAGCACCTGTTCTGCGCTGCTTCAGTTCACAAACATACCGTCAAGGTAGACATTGCCAAACGCAGTGCACTTAAAATCTGTTGTGGACTCTCTACTCGTTACTGAGTTTTTTCTAGCTAGCGCGTTAAGGCGAGCTAAGATTACAGTACATTCTACTCACCATGTCGGGGTCCAAGTAGGGGTGGGCGATATGAGCTAAAATTCATATCACGATATTCTACACTGTCCAGGCGATATCGATATTATATTGCGATATGAGAAAAAAAAATTACAGGCAAAATATTTTAACCTAATATAACGAGAAAAAGTAAGGGATTGGACATAGACCTGAAAAGTATTTTTTTATTGTGCCATTGTTTTTCTCAAAAAGTGCAAACGTGCAACATGAGGTAGGCCAGTATGAATTCAATTTTGTGTGTTTGAGAAGGCCAGTGGTTCCCAAACTTTTTCTGCCGGGCCCCCCTTTTGTAGAGAGAAATACTTTCATACTTTCATACTTTTTCCATTTCTGATTATTATCAATGTTGTAAACATTTGTGCTGCTTAATATTTTTGAGGAAACTATTTTTTTACGATTCTCTTATGAGTATTTGAAATTGTTCTTTGTGTCCGAGTGCTGGAGTTCGTCAGAAATAGAACGCGGCATTAGTTTACTGTCATGGATTTGTGTAACAGCACGCCGCATCCACAGCAGAGAACATCACTGGGTTCTATTTGCTTTTGTCAAATCGCGCCGCTCGCGTCTGGTGTAGACACGCTGTTTTGGTATTTGTGAATGTTAAGTATATTTATAATCTGCTTTACGTTTACCTGGCACTGGAAGTCCTTTCACAAACTTTTAACTTATGCTAAGAGCAGAACCATACATTGATCATTTATATTTTTACATGGCTGCCTGCAATACAACTCTGATACTTCAATCGCGCCATCTAGTGGTCTGTTATTGATACAACCACAACTGCTACAACTGATAATGGAGCGCTCAAGTGGGTCAATGTCAAATTAATATTTTTCTCTCAATGATTTACTTATCAGACAAGTGGCTGCATGATAATTGGGACAATTATGTAGTGTAGTCTTTATCACCCTGCAGAGGTTTCTTTTGCAAAATAATCTGCTGACTGTACACTATCCCTCAGCCTTGCCACGCCCACCTTGTCATATCTGTCATAGTTTGGGAACCACCGGAGTAGGTGATTTGTGCTTTATTAATTTGGTCTGTTACGATGCTCTAGGTCCAAGGTCGCAGCGGAGAAAGGTAAGGATGCCCCTTCGCGCTCGTGTCCGGCAGCTTGTGGATTTATGATCTCGGGCAGGGATTCGCATCCGATGTGTATCGCGTGCATGGGTGTTAAGCACGCTCAGGCCACGCTGGCGGATGCGGAGAGTTGCGCGCACTGTCGTGTAATGTCAGCCAGGATCTTGGAAAGAAGGCTTCTGTGGCTGCATCTTCTAAAGACGATCCGGTTCTATCTTCTGTCCCTCCTTCGACAAAGGGGGTCCAATCCTCTCCCCCACTGGATCTTTCTTCGTGGGGGGATATTATGGATTCAGAGTCTCCTGAGTTTACGCCGCTTTTCGACCAGCAGCTGCTTGCGGAAGGCGATGAGGTGGAGGGAGACGAAAGACGATCCGGTTCTATCTTCTGTCCCTCCTTCGACAAAGGGGGTCCAACCCTCTCCCCCACGGGATCTTTCTTCGTGGGGGGATATTATGGATTCAGAGTCTCCTGAGTTTACGCCGCTTTTCGACCAGCAGCTGCTTGCGGAAGGCGATGAGGTGGAGGGAGACGAGGAGGAGGATGAGGAGATGTTAGCTCGCCTCCTCCGAGAGGAGCTGGATGAGGAGGAGGATGACGCTATCCTGTCTGCAGCACAAGCGTCCAGGCCCGTGAGCGCGCAAAGCGTCGATGTGGCGTCGATGGTGGTAGATTGTGACCTAGTGGAAGTTTGTAAGCGTGCGGCAGCTAAGCTTGGCATCGCTTGGCCCGTAACTCCTGGGGATCCGAGAGTTAAACGTGACATCTATGATGGGAAATGGCTTCCTTCTCGCCTTCCACCAGCAAAACAACTGCTTCCCGCTTTGCCGGCGTGTGTAGCAGAGATGAAGCGATCGTGGGACAAACCTTTATCTCATCGTTTGCCTGTCAAGGGATATTCGTCACTCGATGTGAGTGAAATGGAAAGGCTTGGGCTCTCTAACCCTCCCACGGCCAGGCAGTCAGTGGCTCACCACCTGCATCCAAACAGGCGAACCACTCTCTCATCTGCTAGGCCCTCCCTCCTTGGGAAAATGGAACGCTTCACCGCTTCCATATACCAAAAAATTTATAAATCCTCAGCATTGGCGGTGCGGGCACTTGACGTCACTTCATTGTTGACCGCCTATCAAGCCGAGTTGCTGGAGGAGCTGGGCACTCAGCTGGATGCCGGCAATCCAAACCCGGTGGTCTGGGAGGAGATCTGCAACATAACGGATCTCAATCTGCGCACCTCACGTGGCGCGGTGCAAAGCTGCGGCCGTACCATGGCTCTTGCCGTTGCGGGCGAGAGGCCGCTGTGGCTAAATCTATCGAGTGTCGCGTACAGGGAGAAAGTAGATTTTCTCGACGCTCCTGTGGATTCGAGTAGATTGTTCTGCCCAGCCACTGCGGCGATGAGACAGAGGTACGACCTCCAGAAGAAGGAAGGCAAGGTGTTTGACATCTGTCTGCCACGTAAAAGAGCACTGCATCCTCCTGTTCCCCCGCGTCCTGTTCCTCCGACGCAGAACAGAAGGTTTTTGAATGCGTCCAGGACTGCAAAATCCCAGAGCACAGAGCAGGCGGCTCACCTCCCCGCGGCTTCAAACGCTAAACCATGGGGAAAATAGTCATTCGGCTGCAAAGTCCAAGTCCGCTAACCCTTCCAACAAAAAGAGGAGGAATACCTAGGATGCAATCTCTGCATGGGAGGGATAGGCAGCACCTAGGGTTCTCATTGATGTCCTCTCCCAAGCCCACCATATCTGTTCCCCCACCCACGAAGAAGATGAAGATGTGGAGTTTGGGTGGAAAAATGGTTCTAAGTTGTGTTCAGGCCAGTTCAGCTTCCCCTCAACACACAATGTTCTGTCAAGTTCAAGTGCAGAATACTCAGCCACCAAAAGAATGTGGTCTGATGGGTACAAGCACAAGTTCTCAAGTGTATTGTCACAAAGCACTTCAGCCCCTGGGTTTAAAGCAAATAAAAAATTATCTGTCGCATCCAGGCTCAATGCCGAAGGCACAGGGAGACAAAAACAAAATAATAACAATGAACCAAGAGATAAATCGGTCTCTAAATCATACAAATCCTGGCCATTTTTCTCTCTGTCCACTAGATGGCACCAGCACTCCATCTATGGAATCGGTTCAGCTGAACACTCTGGCTCTTTATCAGGAGGCTTGGAGAGAGTGTTCCGCACATCCGTGGGTCCTCGCGACTGTAATATAGGGTTACAGGCTTCAGTTCACTGTAAAACCCCCTCCTTTCAACGGGGTCATAACATCTGTAGCAAATGGGGATTCAGCTCGGGTGTTAGAAACAGAAATATTCTCCCTCTTAGAGAAAAGAGCTATAAGACGAGTTCCAGTGGGGGAAACTCAGAAAGGCTAGTACTCCCGTTATTTTCTAATTCCAAAGAAAGACGGGGGTTTGCGCCCAATAATGGATCTGCATGCTCTAAACACTTGAGGAAGTACAAATTCAAGATGCTCACAGTTGCAGCTCTCACGTGCACAATCCGTCGGGACGATTGGTTCACCGCGGTCGATCTCAAGGATGCTTACTTTCATATAAGCATCTATACTGCGCCCAGGAAATATCTCAGGTTTTCCTTTCAGAGTGAAGTGTATTAATTTGTTACTCTTCCATTTGGGCTCAGCCTCGCTCCTCGCGTGTTCAGCAGGTGCATAGAGACAGTTATCACCGCTGAGACACAAGGGGCTCAGAATATCTGCTTATCTGGACGATTATCTGATATGCGCTCACTTGCAGGAGCCCGCGGAACGGGACACAGAGATGCTCACGTCTCATCTAACGAGTCTGGGGTTCAGAATCAACTATGCCAAAAGCCAGCTGATTCCATCTCAGGAGATAGAGTATCTGGGCTTACGAATAGACTCTGTGGCATACCGTGCTGTGATCTCGGAAAGGAGAATAATGGCGTTTTATCAGTGCCTGGCCCAGTTTCGCAAGGGAAATTTGGTATCGTCTCCGCCTTTTGGGCATGATGGCTTTGTCGCTGTCCGTGGTCCCGCTAGGTTTGATGAAAATGAGAGACTTCCAGCGATGGGTAGCAGCGAGACGTCTGTGTCCTCATCGGCACCTAGCGCGCAGAGTGCGAATACACGCGGAGTGCGTGATGGCTCTTCAACAGTGGAGAGATCTCTGTTTATTCCAGACAGGGGTTCCCTTGGGGGGGGGTGTTTTTGAGAAAAGCAGTGACAACGGATGCATCTCTGTCGGACTGGGGGGCTGTTTTTCAGGGCAGATCGGTAAACGGTCGCTGGATGCCCCAGCTTCACAAACTTCACATAAATATGTTGGAGTTGATGACAGTCTTTCTGGCCCTGAAACATTTACTCCCATTCTTGGAAAGGTTTCATGTTCTGGTCAGGACAGACAACACGACGGTGGTGGCATATATCAATCGACAAGGGTGAACGCGTTCGGTACAATTGCACAATCTAGCGTGCAAACTGATTGTCTGGGGCGCGGTGCACTTCAGCTCACTGTGCGCGACGCATGTACCAGGAGTCCTGAATATAGGGGCGGATCTCCTGTCAAGGGGCAACCTGTTATACGGACAATGGGTGCTCCACCCGCAGGTGGTGGATCAGATTTGGGGGATGTACGGCAAGGCTGCCGTAGATCTCTTCGCCTCGTAGGCAAACACAAATTGTCCGCTGTATTTCTCTCTCAGGGAAGAAAATGCGCCTTTGGGTGGGGATGCGCTGGCACACCAGTGGCCGAACGTGTTGCTTTACGCATTCCCTCTGCTGAGTCTAATTTTTCCCACTCAGGAAAGAGTAAGAGAAAACGGATTATCTCTCCTGCTGATAGCCCCTCGTTGGCCGGGGAGGCTGTGGCTGGCAGAGATTGTCCAGCTCCTTCAGGGAGAGCCCTGGCCGCTCCCGTTGCGCCGGGACCTGCTGTCGCAAGCAGGGGGGCAGATATTTCACCCACACCCGGAACAAGTCGATCTTTGGGTCTGGCCCGTGAACGGTTAAATTTATACGCACTCGGGCTTCTGCAGGAAGTTATAAACACTATCCAGAGCGCTAGAGCTCCATCAACGCGCTCACTGTATGGCCTTAAATGGCATGTGTTTGAGGACTGGTGTATTCCTAAAGGAGTTATTCCCTTTCAGTGTGCGGTGAGTGATGTACTTTGGTTTTTACAAAGCTTAATTAACAATGGGAGAACAATGGGGACTATTTCGGCGTGTCATGTAGGCTTTGAGGGAGTTTCAGTTGGACAGCACCCTTTTATATGCCGTTTTACGAAGGTGGTGAAGCATTTGAGACCAGTATCTAAGCATCTGGTCCCGTCATGGGACTTGTCCATAGTTCTGAATGCTTTAACTCGGGCCCCATTTGAACCTCTGGAGAGCGTTGATATTAAGCTCCTATCTTTGAAAAGGGTCATACTACTTGCTTTAGTCTCAGCTAAGCGAGTGTGTGAGTTGCATGCTTTGTCAGTTCATCGGGCATGTCTGGATTTTAGTCCGGATGACAGCAAGGTTACGTTGCTGCCCAACCCGGCTTTCGTTCCCAACGTCAGTGATTCAGCTTATAACTGCTCTGCTTTGGAGTTGCTTCCCTTTTACCCCCCTCCTTTTTCTTCGGAGGAGGAGCGGAAATTGCACACTTTGTGTCCTGTACGAGCGTTATGCTATTATGTTAACAGGACACGATCGTTCAGGAAGAATGATCAGTTCCCTTTCAGTCGGTCACTCTCGACGTCACGTCGGATGACCGATGAATTGGGATCTCGCTTTGAGAGACCAATCTACTTAGAGTGTAAACTAAACGAGCCAATGCACATTGGCATGCGATTATTGCATCCAGCTGCCGCTGATCACAGCGTGAGTATAAGTAGGCAGCAGATGCAGCGTATATTCAGCTTTTTGCTGAGGAGCCGAGCGATCACATCGTTCTGCTCCTGACTACTCTACTGAGAGAAGAAGACTGAACGAGTTCAGCGCGCTCTTAGAGAGCTCTTCGTGTTGGCGGTACGGCGCTTCAGCGGTGGTGGTTTGATGGTGGAGGAGATTGAATGAAATGGCTTATACATCTATGGGTCTTCATTCCCCAGCGGGCTTAAGGACTCATTCAACAAGGGGTATGGCTACCTCGTGGGCATTGTTCAAGGAGATGTCGGTAGGACATATTTGTGCAGCGGCAAGCTGGGCTTCCCCTCATACATTTATCAGATTTTACCGTCTGTCTGTCACTGCGCCTTCTATGGCTCATGCAGTTCTCAATGGTGGCTCTTTAGAGAATTGAAAGGTTATCTTTCGTTCTTGCCGGGTCTGTTCGGCGGTTTCGGAAAGCATGAGTTTCGGGAGTTGGCTATATCATTCCCATAGTGAGATACCGAGCGATTGTTTGAAAGAGAACGTTAGGTTACTTGCGTAACCCCGGTTCTCTGAGAACAGAGCGAGGTATCTCACCAAGCTTCCCTACTCGCATAACATGGGGGGAAGTGCGTGCTTAGAATGCCGTTTTCGGGGATCACAGCCATATATATAGGGAGGGGGGTGGGCTCCTTGTCATGAGCTGTGATTGGTCCGTCCTTCGGACAGACGTGGTGTAATTGGTGCTTCCATAGTCTATCACGCCTGGGGCAGTTCCCATAGTGAGATTCCTCGCTCTGTTCTCAGAGAACCGGGGTTACGCAAGTAACCTAACGTTTATCCTACTCCATTGTGTGCATACATTTTTTATGCGCATTTTTATAATATATGCCCATCATGGCTTTTCCATCCAGCGTTTTTTTCATGCGATAATCCAAAATGTGCATTAAAATTGGTGGATGGAAACATAGCTACTGGCTATCGCAGGTATCATGTCAGAGGCAGTCAGACCAAGAGTCGTAAATATCAGACATGTTTAATATTTACAATTTGAGTTCGGGGATGCTCCGTCTCAATCGAGAGCAGTTAAATAATTGTAATGACAAAGCGATCACAATCACTGGAGTTCTGAGCACGCACACCTGACAAAGCGATCACAATCACTGGAGTTCTGAGCACGCACACCTGACTTCACTCAATCCTCATTAACACAGCACTTATAAGAAGACACACAAACAGTCACATTGTCTGGTCTCCCTTGTGAAAGGAAGACTCATACTTATGAGTATGCGAACCATCACCATTACACTGACTCAGTTGATTAAGCATTGTGTGATAGCAACAGCATTTCTCTGCCCGAGTCATGCAGTAAATCACATATGCAACCAGTTAACAGATCAAATATTCACATATACCGGTTTTCTCCCAGATGAAGGTTACTTTTAAAGTAACCACCAGTTTAATGTTTAACAGTTTGCTAATGACTCATAATTGTATCCTAATTTGACTCATAATTGTATTCTAATTTAGGCACTTGGTGTTTGGTATGAAGGGCCTACTTTGCATTAGCAACACTGACTCAATGACAGACAAGTCATTCATAAAATAACTGATGGCACCTGTATTCATAGCAACTAGTTTCTAACTAATTAATTATTTGATTGTTAATCATAAATATAATAATATATTATGTGTCAGGCAGTCATTCATGCAATGGTATGCACAATCATGATCCTGCTAAACTGCTACTTTAATTAGGGTACAATATTCAGCAATCAAATATTTATTAATCAATCATTGGACACCTATTTGGAAGTTGAAAACAAACATTTTAGCATTTCGACAATTATTAAATGATCAATATGTTTTGATTTTACATGTAGCCAGAAACGTAATCAGAAAGTAGCAACAGAACTTGTCAAGGAGTATTAACCCAACTCCAACCACTGAATCTATTGAGAGCCATAGAAGTATAGAGGACACATACACATTAATAGTGTAGTAACAAGTCTGGGCAAACTACTGAGTAGGTACCAATCAGAGGCCGCATTTTTTTGATGTCATCATGTAGACTTCTTACTAATTATTTTACAGTATTTTAAAACTACAAAAATACAAAACACTAAAGTATTTTGATACAAAATATGAATCCATTTTAATCAACCCTATCAAATACAAATTACAGAATCCTATTTTATATCTGAAATACTTGTATCATAAATACTGTCCATCCCTGCTTGTGTGCTCCTGTGTTTGTCTGAAACTACTTACCTGCTCCGGTCATTGGAAACTGGCTCCTGGACTATGTTCACTCTCACTCTGTGCTCCAAAACCTGGTAAAAGGGAACAGTCTCATCAGTATTGTCATTATATCTGCCAAAGACTCTATATCTGCCAATACTCACCTGCCATTGTTGATATCTACTAAGCTGTTCATTAAACACGTCTGTTTGGTTCTAACCTGTTGTTGTCTGGAGTCTGACTTCCCGTTACAAGTACTTTGATATACAATTTATTTCCCCATATATGTATATATATATATATATATATATATAGACCATTTTACATTGCTTCCACAAGTGTTTGACTCCTGACTCCATTGCAGTGCTGTACCATCTGCCCTTGTGATCACCTTTTGTATGAAAAGGGATAAAATATGTTGGTGTTTTACTGCCTCAAGTTTTAATTTTATCTGGAAACTGCAGCCTGTGTTGAGATTCTGTTGCATATGGTATATCCTTGTTACCTCTGTGTGTGTGATCCAAAGAGTTGTAATCTGCCTGGAAAGAGCTATCTTTTAACATCCCCATTCACCTCAGTAGTTGAAGGCAGTTGCTTGGGTGATATGCGTCCACCAGAATGAACTAACAGGGACATGCTAACCAGCCAAGCATTGCAAATACTGTATATATATATATATATATATATGTGTCTGTGGATTCCAAACAGAAGTGAGCAGCCCTATGCTCTACAGTACTCACTCCGAAGGGCAGCCCTTAAAGTGGTCAGTTTGGAGGGAGCAGGGCACTTGTTTGTCATAATGTAACCATTTGGAACACACTTGGCAAAGGTAGCAATGAAAGACAACATTATTTCCACCGTGGCATCCATCACCCCTGTATTCTGGAATTTCTTATTACTGTAAATAAATATACACCTTATAATTAAGTTTTAATAATGAAATGCTTTATGAGAATATATCACAAAACAACTTGAATTATTCTGTTTATGTGTTAACTTAAACTATCATGCCATCTAGCTTTTAAAGGAGACATGTTATGCCCCTTTTTTCAATATGTAATATAAGTTTCTGGTGTCCCCAGAATGAGTCTGTGAAGTTTCAGCTCAAAATACTCCACAGAGATCATATTTTATATCATTTTGAAAATGCCTATTTTGAGTGGAAGCAGAAACACACTGTTCTTCGGGCCTGTTTCTTAAATGCAAATTAGCTGCTGCTCCCCGCCCCCTTTTCCAGAATGGAGCCGTGCCATTACAGCTCGTATCTGCTAAAAACATCTGTTTTGGTTCTGATTATCATGTTTATCGTGCTGAAATCATGCGTTTTAAACCATATGAGTTTAAACTTCTGATATACGGTTTTCTGAGTGCACACATCTGAAGCACACGGACAGAAAGCTGCTGTCACAGCATGTGAGTACTAAACTAAGCTCTCATTCACACACAAGTTTACGTTAAAAACACACAAGTTACAAAAACAGT